AATTTTTTTATAATTACAGACGTTACGAAAGTGTTTGAAACATATAAATTGAATATTATCACGAAGAATTTCTTCAGCCAATAGTAGATTATTTCGGAATTATTTAAATTTTTTTAATTGGGCAGGTAGACCAACTAAAAGACAAAGAAGAATTTCTACATTTGCAATCTTCATGCAGTATTATTATAAAGAAAAAAAATAAGTCTTTCAATCTCAAGAGGACGTGATACCTGCATGTGTTGTCTCTGTCTTACAAGTGCGTAACATAACAAATTTTACGCTCAGAAGAACATGTGTAGCTCCGTTAGTTTAAAAATTAGTGTGAATTGACCTCTTATAAAATCTAAAGGTAAGATTATTATCTAGGCAGCCTCATAGGTTTTTTATTATATTTTAATTTTAACGCGAGTTATGAGTATTTTAAAATTGTAAATTTTTTATACATCTTAAAATATTCATAACTCGCGTTAAAATTAAAATATAATAAAAAAACCTCACGTCTTCTTAAAATAGGTTTAAATGTGGTCGAGCGAGTACCCTACCTACCGGCTACCTACACTGTTACAGTTTTTGGTGTCTGTGAGTGTTTGACATTGTCGTTATAAGACTCGTTGTAAGTTGTAAGTACCAATACTTATTTGCGATGAGATGTGTGCTAGAGTGGTACAGCTTTTGAGATGTTCATAGTTTTGTTGCCAAAACCACGGCCAGGTTTAAACATTTTATTAATCTCGTGACTTAATAATATTGTAAGATGGTATTGTGCTATAGCCTCAGTGGCGGCGCTAGGGGGGCCTGGGCGGGCCACGGCCCCCCTTGGCCGCCGAACCACAAGAGAAAAAAAATTCTTTACATTTATAATAAAGTACACATTTTTAATGAAAGTTTGTTGAAAATGATATCTAGTGTTTCAGTGTGTAAATATTAAATAATATACTTATACCTCCACCTATACTATACCTATGATATTTATTATCAATTTAAATGAAAATCAATAATTATGTGAAAACTTAGTACATGCAACACAATCTTTACAATAGTGTGTAAGCCCCATGCCCTATACTGAGCCTATGAATGGGAAAAAGACCACAGATTGGGACTTTTTTGGTCCTGCCAAATTTTCAAAGGCCACCAATGGGCCTCCCCAAGATAAAATTCCTGGCACCGCCTTCGTATAGCCTGTGATACACCTATATCTATTTAACTATTATTAATGCATAATGCATACGCTAATGTGGATATAACATCATTAATCAACACTAGCAAGGTAATCGTATGCATTATCGTAGATTCGTAGGTAGGTATATAATATGCAATAATAACTATAAGATGGTATATTGCAACATAAACGTGCTGCAGAGACTGACAAAATGAGATGGAATAAAATTACGAAAACAATTATTTTATGGCGGGCAAATAATTTTGCTACGGATGAACATTTATTATGCTAATTAAATCGTTATTATGTCTATAGTTACACAATATGCGTTGTCTATTTTAAAAGCATAGTTTCAATTCTATATTTTTAAATAAAATATAAAAAATTAATGCTAGGTAGGAAATGTAACTTTGTAAGGCTAGGCCGATTGGGCTACACTGAATTTTGCGTCGCGTTTCGTACTCTGCATTTTTTACTGCTTCAGCCATCGGCTAACGGAGCGTATCCGTTGGCATAATCTACTAATCTGCTGCCTAAATTACATACAATCATGGTATAAATGAGGCGTTTTCCGTCACTGGTGTAGCCCATACCAATTGTACAACATGTAAGAATTAGCGTTTTTATTATTTCGGGTTTCTGGCGAAAACGAAGGCTGGCCTCTGGCCACACAGAAATATTAGGTACAAATCACCAATGTACAATAAAATATAAATATTGAGTCTGATAGAATGCGCGGTGTATACGAAACGCGTCGGAAAACGCCGCAACCCAACCGTCTACTGAGTACTGACGTACTGAGTTTTGTTGCAAATTTTAATTTAAGATTTAAACTCTTCTTTATTCGTGATAAACTAAATTTATTGATACAGATTGTATTATTTAATTGCACCTATCACTCAACCTACGATTCAATTGAATTGTTCACAGAGTTATTCCCACCCCTCAACAGTTGTCACGTCGCATTTTTTTCCAATCTTTAGCCGAAATCCGGGCATCGACAGCAGACAAGTTTAAATGATTCAAGTTGTGGCCGGCAAACTACAACTCGAGATAATATAAAGCAATATTTGCACGCCATATTAATTCAGCCAATCTTGAATATAGAGTATGAAAACCGGACCATATTTAATGATAGGTACCTAGGTTTATGTCATAATATTATTATCGTTTATGTGCCAGAAAAAAAATTCGTAATGAGATTTATAGTCAGATCTTAAAAGTTAAAACAATATAGATAAATTCATATAAATTCATATAAATTGGTATAATTATAGTTAAATCAAATAGTAAATAGCAAAAAAAGCAAATTCAAATTTATTACTTGGCCGAACCCTGCAGGTTACTTAACTAATTTATAAGACGTTTATATTATATTTGAATGCAATAATGTGAGTATTATAGCCTCTATAGACTATGAACCTATGGTATATAGGTACACTCGGACGGTCATCGAGTCGAATACCCGTTCCGACTTCCGGATGAAACGTCTTGCAAAGCGACACATATTATCCGGTTTCGCGACCATGCTCCTGGATATATCTATATATATACATGGGTACCGCAGGGCGTGGGCTGCAGGACGCTAGTGAGTGCTAATTAAATTGTAAGTAGTGTGCTTACACGCGATCGCATTCGATATTGTTGTCGTAAGGACTGGACTTATCCACCCGACTTTGAACCGTTGTTTACACACACATGTCGAGTGTGTATTATGGACACGTTGCGTGTGAAAACCGCGTATTACGAGTGTAATCATATAATACTCGTCGATAATAACACAGTCGTTTTGCCGACACCGATGGCAAGCTAAGGTGCGTCGTGAATTCTATCAAATTATATTATAATTTATAATATAGGACAATATAGGTAGGCAGTACGTCAGTACCTACTTCACTCTTATATAGTGTTATCAACCATTAGATGGTTTAGTGGTTATGGTATGACTTATGTGGTATGTATATAACGTACTGCAGCGCCAATGAACTTATGTGATCCTAACGGTCGTTTCATAATTATTAACAGGCTTCATCATAATAGGTGGATGTCGGGATATGGTTATGGGGGGTTAGTCTTTCAGCACCCCAAAATAAAAATTATCAAAACTACACATAAAACTTCAAACATGTGATTCTTAATATTTATTTTTTTCAAGCTCCCCCAGGCTTGTAAAATATACGTGGTCTTTACGCTTTAATCCTTCCCCGCGAGTCGTGGAATACCTATCATTCGACTTCAGAATATTTGGATGCTTTTAAACGTTGAAGCCACTTTGTTTGTTGTACAGTCAAATTCAATAAATTTCACCACGCAACCCGAAAGTTCATCATGATGGGTTTTCAAATGGCCGTTATTGGTAGTCTGAGTGGGGACTAGGGAGAGGTTATTATTGTCGTTGTGTGTTCAGTATTCGATTGGTAGTGACAAGTCACCGAAGTCGGTTTCTATACTCATATCATAGTTTGAGACGTGCCACATCAAACGTTAGCCATTATAGTCGTTATTTACTATTATAGAAATCAAAAGCGGTGTAAAAAATAACCAAAAGGACCCGAAGACTGTTTGTATTGAGATTTCCAAGAAGAAAAATTCGATACGTATCAATGGGAAACAGTTACGTACCGACTCGTATCGAAGTTTGAGTCCGGGACGGGTCGGTGAGTATTTGTATATTGGCATATTTGTATATTTTGGCATATTGCAAGTGTAACTTCTTGAACGCTAAAAATTGGCCTGATACGTATCGATACACTCCAATTTCTTTCTTGGAAATCTTGTAAATCACCGACGCGGGAAAATCCAAACTTATAGGTACCTTTGATTGGTGCACCTGAACATAATTTCGTCAGAGCGGAATGTGACGTCCTCCAGCGGTCCTGGAAAACAAATAAAATATTATATAATCATATATATATATATCATTAACACCTTCCAAGACAGCGCGTGTCACATGTATAGGCATTAGGCGCATAATAACGACTGCACGTGCAGTGGATGCACCTACGACGCAGTATAATAAATAATAACATATGCAATCATTTATACATCGAACCACCGTGGTCGCGTGCGATATACGCGCGTAAAAATTGTTTTGGGAAATAAAACGCCGACGTACAGTCGTGTGCGACCACAAACATTTACCGCGGTCGTAGTCGTTGTCATGACGACAACACTTTCACCTGACCAGGTACGACCGGGACGAGCGTGTGTAACCCCACCACCACTATTTTATTATTTTAATATAATATACAGTCGGCGGCGGCGTTGGCTCGTGAGTCGTGACCTCATAGAGCGCCTACTGACTTGCCGCGGCGCACTCGGCCCGAACACAGTCAGCAGGCACCGTGCGCGCCGTTCTCGTCCAAACGAGATAAAATATAATTTCTAATGCGTGCAGAGTTATAAAATATCATTTCTAATATTGATAAAGTTATAAAATATTTAAAGCGGTACCTCTACCTACTGTCCGCATACCGTCAAAAGCGTGCCGTGTGTCTTTGTTTTTTCGTTTTGCCGCGGTGAAGACGATGCCGACGACATCACATAATATCACCGCAACAGTGTCGTATTCGGGCAACGCGACGTCGGTTCTCCGTAATAATATCATTAATGTCGTTATAATATCAAAACTCGGTTCGTTATTGCACCACGGCGGTGTACGCTGAAACGTCATACGTGCGAGAGCGCAGCAGCCGTCGCGGGCTCGGTCGAGGAAGAATAATATTATAATATTACAACAGGATCCAGTCGCAGTACATTTATATTTGGCGCATTAATATAATATCCATCGTATTATTAATCGGTACAGCGGTCGCGGTAATAGTCGACGACCACAGACGAGATGACCAATCCGTACGCCCGTCCGACAGTACAGCCGCACATCGAAGACCTACCGTCCGATTGCGGGTGAGTTTGACGCGCGCGCGGTTTAAATAATAATAAATGATAATTATTGTTGTATTGTTATTAATTGTCATGTGTCCCCCGCCGTCGCTTGACTGATCCGACTATTGTTTACCACGACTACTCCATTTGACTGCATATCGATGTGCATATTATTATACTGTTGTGTAGGTGTAGCGTTCGATTTATTATAGTTATGATGTTTTATTAATTACTCAAGGGTAAGGATCATTATAATATTATCTTCTTAAAAATATATCACTCCTTTCGATAGGTAGTCCTAAAATGTTTTTGAACTACACTGAATAAATCACTAAGTTTTCGGGCACGCAGGCTGGGGTTTGTGCACACGTGCCCTTTTACGACTTCTTACCCATTCAAATTTGAATACAACTGCACCTTACTATTTACCGACCCTAGACGTACCCGGTACACGATAGCGCTTTGTAATAATTTAATAGTGACTTGCGTCTGTTGTTTAATGGCGATTGTTTTTCATCAAAAGGGGTGGTCGCAAGTCTGCAATATTCTTTCGATTTGAGGAGTCTTATTACCTGCAGTCTGCACAATTATAGTATAGTAATTAGTAACTATCGTCCCATAAAAAGTCTAGTTTTTTTTACAAACATATTTTATAAGCTATTACGCAAATATATGTATAGAACATGGATGTATAGGTAGGGTTAAATGTATTACTACATATTACGCAGTCCATACGTGTCGACTGAACCGTAAAGCTTACGCATTCACAATCGTTAGACGTTCCGACTGCTCACACACAACAAATATTAACTGTCCTCTTCTTCAGTATTCTTGACATTCTCTATGACTGGCAGGGGTGGCCAACATGTGCCGTCCGCTTGATGTACTCTGTAATTATTATGTCGATCAAATTAATCAATGTGTAGTAGTAAGTGCGTGATAAGTACGCGTAATAAGTGATAAGTATCGTGTTGTACAGAGTTACACTGTAAACTGCATATCGATGTTCTCGACTAACTCCTCGTTTTTTACTCATAACTAATAAATTATAATAATAGTATTATATTAATTTAACAACACTGATATTATTTTCTTCGTGTTCGTGTAATACTCTAATATTATGAATACCTATATTAGATTATTAAATTACAATTTGTGCTGTAGTATACAGGAATTTGTAATTATTGTTGACAGCCACAAGCCAAACTCAGGTGGTCCTAACTCCTAAGTATGACATTGCTTATCCTACAGTATTTGAACGATATCATTTATTTGAATGCTTCTTCTATATTATATTATCCACGAGCTCAAAGTTTGACTAGAGGGTGGCATTCTGCGCAGAATGACCGAATTGTATATATATACCAAAAGACGATGTATACGGTATACCTATGCTAAATAAACCTATCTAATTTAAAATAAAGTTAATTTTTATTAGCTCATAATTTATTGTAGTTATCGCATAAATTACATAATTTAGAGTTGTACATCAACATTGAAAATCATTTTAACTCTCGTAAGTAATGGGTGATTTTACTTATTTTACACATTTGTGTATGTAATATATAGTGGTAAATTACAATTATTAATGATTTAATAGGCGTATTACTAATTTTTTGTAAACTAATCGTTCAACTATTTTATGATAATTTAAAAGACAGAAAGATGGTTAAAAAATCGAAAAGTGATTTAAAAAAATCGAAACCCTTTGCTTACAAATAAATAAATAAATACGATAATTTGTATATTAAATGAGATGCCACTATGCATGTGCAATAAAAAAACCTATTATCCTATAATAGGATGTAATAATATAACGACGTTGACGATATGTACCTACTTATATATAATTCTTTCATTTATAAACCAACTTTATATAGACATTTTTTTATTCATTGATGAGAAGTTTAGATTTTCAGAATGAAGGGAATTAGGTGATTACATCACCATTTGACCACCATTGACTTAATTTTCATTGGATTTCGTGTTAACTTAAAAACATAAAATTGTCCTTATTCTATTCAGGATAGGAGTTTTTTGGTTGTTCATCATTTCAAAAAAACGTCAAAGTCTTTGAATTTTAACACTTCCCTACGACCTCACAGCATTCCACAATTTAATGTATAACTCACTTCTTGAACAGTAGGAAATGAATTGAATATTTAAATATTTAATGATCAGGAAAAATCAATGGCATAGGTATATACATTTTATATACATTATACTTAATAATATATTCAATAGAAAACTCTACCGATTAATTGTCGTATACTAATAATTTACTGTCCAGACAATATTTTCCCAAAATATAGGTACCTAAGCATTTATTTAGTCTACCTGTAATTTTTCAAAAATTATTAGACGTTATAAAATGTCTATTGAGGAACTATATCTTAAATAAAATAAATAAACTAGACTGTGTTTGGATTTTCACTAATAAATAAAATTATCTATTCATTCAATAACTATTTACTAGTGCCAAAACTTGAACGATGGATAAATGCTCTGTTTACTCCTCAAAATCATCATGGAAGACTGCCCATGGTGTGCTGTGTGTTTTAGCACACCGGACTGGTTCAATATATGTTTTCGGCGGGGAGGGGGGGCCAAACTTTTGACAACATTACGTTATTACTATTTTTTTCTAGTTACTATTAGTTTATCATTATATATTTGTATAATAATGCCATCCAGTTAGCCCATATATATTCAATATTGTATATATTAGTATGGTAAGGTAATCTAATAACTATAATAACTATAGACGACACAAATTTCTCGTTTAAAATCTCAAACAGAGTTCTAGATCAAAACGTCATAAGTAATATTTTTGGTTTCTGCTCAAAGAGCTTGATAGTAATTTGAGATAACACTTCAATACACGAGCAAGGATAATAATCAAGTAGGTACCTATGATAGTAAAATGTATAGCTTATTTATTTATTTCGGCCTTATCGATTACGATTAAATAATTACATAATTACAATAAATTGCATTATTAATAGGTGATACATATACCAACTGAGCTATTAGCTCGTATCTAGTATACGGAGTTCATGGATATTATATAATTATATTGTTATGATAATAATCGAATCAATCTAAGTACCTATCTTTATAATTGTATTTTTTGAATATTTCTATGTATAGACTGCAGTGTACAGAATTTGAATTGTAATAGTATAGGTATATCTACCAAAATTTCAAACTTTTTATTCTATCAATTCTTACAATGATAAATCTTAATTAAAAATAATTTAATGTTTTTATGTAAATCGGATATGTATAATTTAACACAAATTTGTTAACAATTTATAATATTACTGAGATATCTACTTATCTTCTAAGTGGGTAGGTATAATATTATGTGCTATTGAGAAGAATACTGCTGTGCCATATGCATAATACTGTTTAAAAAAAAATTAAGTGTGTATGATTACCATAAAACAGACAAATGATTATTATACATTTATAAGGTTACTTAATATTCAGTCATACTATTATACATGGAAACAAACATAAAAAAATCAACGCCATATGCATTATAGGTACCTACCTATATAGTGTAACATGATTTCCAAAATATATTTTAACTGATTTATTCATGATTTTTACTATACATTGTGTAAGTCATTTTTAATTTGGTGGATTCACATCAATGACACCCCTTTATTTTTACTGACATCGATTATTTATTCTTCTTAAATTACATACACATACATGATACATAGGTATATACTTTACATAGTATACAGTTGTAGGAGGTATTGGGATTTCTAGATAAATCTTACAAACGCCGAATACTATAATATTGCGATTCGTAGAATCCATAATATCATGTACAACGTTAAAACTATTGAAACCGCCCACGGTAGGTTTTTTTACACAGCAGACATTAAAAAAAAAATAAACAAATAAAAAAAAAATACCGACAAAAACGTCAACTAAAACTATATAGTAAATGCGGAGAACCAATTGCACAATATCTATATACAGTTTACTCGCGTGCATGCATGCATGCATGTATAGATTTATTGATGCGACGTCCGAATAAAATAATTTCACACATGTATCGAATTACTGTGCGACATACCTATAACAATATTAAAACACTCGAAGTTCATTTGTCGAAAAACACTAGACGTTTCCGTTATTTTTTCCGACGAAATTATACACAGAGTATAACAAATGATAATTATTTCGACATTCCATTTTCAGTGATTGTAATTCTCGATGATCACTGTTGATTGTAATATGGTATATCAGTTGTAGTATAAATGTATAATATGTAAGTGCTAGCGTAATTACAACGCGGATAAGCGTGCGCGGTGTGGAGGTTTGTCGGGCGGCGTCTGTTGCATAACTATAGTATAGATATTATATAGGTATACCCTTTAGTCTATACTATATCGTATAAACGGTTTTTTTTCCGCATCGACGGTTACCAATGTGTATTTTTTTCGCCATGACTTCGGCTGAATATAATATGTTTACAATCTATAATATATTATGTACGGTCGTTGGTTGACACTAAAGAAACCAAAAAACGTTCAACACAACATAAACAATCTGTGTACTCACCTATTCCTTACGCAGTTACATGAAAAAAAAACGAGTGGGATTCTGATCAAACGTCATGAATATAGTATTTATAAGTAGTACAGAACAAGTCTACTAGGTAGTAATATTTAAGTTCAATGCCGAAATTAAGGATGTCCCCTCGCCAACCACACCGCCACTCACCCCTAAGCACCAGGTACCGTGCTCAAGAACATATAATACCTATAATGATAAATGCTCTCTGACATTTTTTTAGAAACATTGTCGTGAATATTTCAACGGTATTCATTGATTTGTTTTAATTTTTTATGCAAAAATTCAGCGCAAGTTCAACTTTATAATTTCTTCTAAGGAATGTCACGCACGCATATCGATCGAAAAGCAGAGAAATACGATACCATATTATTATACAAACAACAATTCGCTAGTAATGTTTTAGTATAATACAATTTAATTATACA